AGCAGCAGCAGCAGCAACAGCAGCAGCAGCAGCAGCAGCAGCAGCAGCAGCAGCAGCAGCAGCAGCAACGTGAGTATTTGCATACAGTTATCTTGGCTAGAGGTAAGAAGCAGCAAGGACGCAGCAAGATCTTCTTGAGCAGCAAAACTGTTGCTGCTCTTAGTGCAGCAGAAGGGCAGCAGCAGCAAGGAAGAGCAATAAAGTGCAGCAAGCATTGCATTGTTGCAGCAAATGCATCTGCTGCTGCTGCATCCATTGCTGCTGCTGCAGCTGCTGCAGCTGCAGCAGCTGCACCATCGCTCTCCTCTTCGCGCTGGTGCCGCCAGGCGTACAGACACCGCAAGGCCGGATACGCCGCAAACCCCTGCAGCAGCAACAGCAACAATTGCAGCAGCAGCAGCAGCAGCAGTTAGACCAGAGGCACCAGCAGCAGAAGCAGCAGCTGTAGCAGCAGCAGCAGCAGCAGCAGCAGCAGAACTCACAATTTCTAAGACCGCTAAGACCGTCATAGCACGACCTTCAGACCCAAATGCTGCCACTGCAGCAGCAGCAGCAGCAGCAGGAGCTGCTGCTGCTGCTGCTGCTTCTGCTGCTGTTGCAGTGTTTGCCGCTGCTACCTGGTGTGCAGCAGCAACCATACGCCCTCCATCGCCTGCTGCTGCTCCTGCTGCTGCTGCTGTTCCTGCTGCTGCTGCTGCTGCTGCTGCTGCTGCTGCTGCCTTATGGAGGCCTACCCATAAGTGTGCTGAGACTTGGAGACACCCCATGGATAAACGGAGACACTGCAGCGCGTCTGCAGCAAGCAGCGTGTCTGCTGCTGTCTCCCCAGCAGCAGCAGCAGCAGCAGCACCAGCAGGTTGTGTGTCTCCTTCTGCAGAGATTCTCTCGAGCAGCAGCAGCTGCGGATGCAAATCCTCAAGGGTTAGTGCTGCTGCTTCTACTGCTGCATCTGTTGCTGCAGCAAGCAGCTGCTGCAGTCTCTGTCTCCCTTGCTGCAGTGTCTCTTGTCTCTGCCCTGCAATAGCAGCAGCAGCAGCAGCAGCAGACTCTGCTGCTGTTGCTGCTGGTTTGTCTGCAGCTAACGAAGAAAGAAGACTGTCGGGCAGCACCGACGGCCACGAAGCACAAGTGTGCTGCTGCTGCTGCTTCGTCTGCTGCTGCTGCTGTTGCTGCAGCGGCAGTCCATGCTGCTGCTGCTGCTGCTGCTGGTGGTATTGCTGCCGTGCAAAGTGGTACGTACTGCTGCTGCTGCTATCAGCAGCAGCAGCAGAAGCAACAGCAAGCTGAGGCGAATAAGTAAGACTGGCTGCATGCAGTGCTGCTGCTGCACCTTGTACAGCAGCAATTGCGGTGTATCTAGCAGCAACAATGCTGCTGCTGCAGAAAGGAGACAAAAAGGATATTAATCCTGATGATATAAAAGGAAAGGAGACACTAAATAACCTGAATACATACATACATACACACAATAGCAGCAGCAGCAAACAGTCAAGCAGCAGCAGCAGCAGCAGCAGCAGCAGCAGTAATAGCAGATATCAACACCATTAGCAGCAGCAGCAGCAGCAGCAGCAGCAGCAGCAATATCAGCAATACTAACAGCAGCATCCCGATCAGCACCAGCAGCAAGACTATAATCATTAGCAGCAGCAGCAGCAGCAGCAGCAGTAGCAGCAAGCATACAGTGCAGCATCATGTATAGCAGCAATAAATGTATTATAATTTATTGCCTTAATAAGGAAGCAGCAGCAATCAAGAGCAGCAAATGTCTCCTTAAGTCCTGCAACATCTGCTGCTGCTAGCAGCAACTCTGCTGCTGCAGCAACTGCATGCGATACAACCATCTGCTGCTGCTGATGATGATGATGATACTGCTGCTGCTGCTGCTGCTGCTGCTGCTGTTGCTTGTTGCCACCTGCTGCAGCAACAAGATGACGGAGACACTTCCAGCTAATCAACTCATGTCCCTCTCCTAGTATCCGTAGCTCGCTGCTGCACTCCTGCTGCTGCTGCTGCTGCTGCTGCGGTTTCTGCTGCTGCTGCTGAGGCTTGTGGTTATCTGCTGCTGCTGCTGCTGCTGCATGCGCCATCCCTATTCGCATTAATGCAGTACCTAAGAGGGGCGCGCAGTGTCTCTGCAGCATGCGACCAAAGGAAGAGGGACGATGATTATGCTGCTGCTGCTGCTGCTCGTGCTGCAGCAGGAGCAGCAGGAGCAAAGTTGCATGGTGCTTTGCTGCTGCTTCTGCTGCAATTATAGATTGCTGTTCGCATGCGGGCACCCGGTACGCTTCTCCACCAGGAGCAGCAGAAGAAGCAGCAGCAGCAGCTGCTGCTGCTGCAGCAGCAGCAGCATTAGATGTATTACACACTTGCGTAAGATGAGTAACAGCCTTAGCAGCAAGAGATCTATCAGCAGCAACAGCAGCAGCAAACGCACGGTGTATGCAGCTGCTGCTACAGAAGCAGCAGTTTCCCCATTGTAATGTTGCTGCTCCTCCTCCTCCTGCTGCTGTTGCTGCTGTTGCTGCTGCTGCTGCTGCTGCTGTGTCTTGAAATTGTTGCGGATCTAGCAGCACTGCAGCAAGACCTGTGGGGCCCCACACAGGCGCGGGGTGTACAGGGGACACTTGTTGCTGCTGCTGCTGTTTCTGTGCAGCAGCAGCAGCAGCAGTTGTTGCTGCTGCTGCTGTTGCTGCTTTCTCCTTTCCAGTCTGACCTGGTCGCTGCTTCGTTGCTGTTGCCTTCTTAGCAACAGCAGCAGCAGCAACAGCAGCAGCAGCAGCAGCAGATTGAGGAGAAGAGGTAAGGGGACTAAGGACAGAATCTATATCTATACGAGAGAGACGAAGGAGACACTCAACTGCTGCTGCATGCAGCAGCAACTCTTCCTGCTGCAGTTGCTGCAGCCAAGAGGATTGTGCTGCATATTCAACAGCAGCAGCAGCAAACCTTTTATCCCTATCATCTTCTCCTTCCTGCTGCTTCTGCTTCTGTTGCTGCTGCTGCTGCTGTGGTTGCTGCTGTTGATTCCTGCTGCTGTCTCCTTGGGAGCTTGGCATGCCTGATACGGGTGCAGCAGCAGCAGCAGCTGCTGCTGCTGCTGCAGCAGCAATAGCAGCATCTGTGTCTCCTCTACCCTCAGCAGCAGCAACTGTCTCTATTTGCTGCCTTAGTCTCCTTATTGTCCCTCCTCTTGCTAATAGGCGGTGTCTCCTTCCCTCTATTGTATTAAATATACCTCGTGATACACCCCGTACTAAGGAAGGAGACAGCAGCAAACTGCTGCTGCTGCTGCTGCTGCTGCTAGTTGTGCTGCTAGTTGTGGTGGTGGTGGTGGTGGTGGTACTGCTGCTGCTGCGGCTCCTTGTGTTGCTGCTTTTGTTGCTGGTCGTGCTGCTGCTGCTGTGACTCCAGGTGTCTGATGCTAGAGAACTCTGGGTACCCTGCTGCTCCTCAGCAGCTTCCCCTTGCTGCTGCTGCTGCTGCTGTTGCTGCTGCTGCTGCTGCGGAGCAGCTGCTGCAGTAGACGGACACAAGAGCTCGGTGAGACACCGCAGGGACACAACAGCAGCAGAAGCTTGTGTCTCTGCAAGAGGCAGCAGCAGCATGCAGACAACCTCACTTGCTGCTGCAGGGTTATTTGCTATATAAGGGCGCAGCAGCAGCAGCAGATGCTGCTGCTGCCGCTGCAGCAGCTGCTTCTGTCTGCTCTCTAGCTGACTATGAGAGGCGCCACGGTCAATGCGCTTTCTTGCTCGTCCTCCCCGCATAGAGTCCTGCATGTGCTGCTGCTGCTGCTGCTGCTGCTGCTGGTGACCTGTTCCAGCTGCTGCTGCTGCTGCTGCTTCTGCTGCAGCACGTGCTGCAGCACGGCCTTGTGGGGCCTTAGCAGCAAGAGACTCAAATATCTGCATTGCTGCAACAGACAGCTGCAGGCAGCTGTCTCCTCCTCGAGGGAAGAGCAGCAGCAGCAGCTGCATCCAGGTATGCACATCCTCCCTGCTGCTGCTGCTGCTGCTGCTGCTGTCATCAAGGATAGCAGGTGCAGCAGCAACAATCTGCCGTACAGCGCAGAGCCCTCGCCAGCGAATAAAAGGGCTGCTGCTGCTGCAGAGCCGCAAGTGAATAGCCTGCAGCAGCAGCAACAGCAGCAACAGCAGCAGGAGTTAGTGTACGACTGCAGCAACATTAGCAGAAGCAGCATGAACAGCAGCAGTACTAACAGCAGCAGCAGCAGCAGCCGCAGCAGCAGCAGCAGGTTAACATACTCGCAGCAGCAAGGAAATAGATTGCCATGTATTGCAGTGTATAGACAGCCCAAGGAGACAACTTGTTGCTGCTGCTGCTAATTCAGCAGCAGATTTATCTGCTGCTGCTGCTGCATCGAAGCAAACCTCAGCAAGAAGTCCTTCTTCTGCTGCTGCTCTTGTATCTGCTGCTAGCAATTGTACATCTCCTGCTGCTGCTGTTGCTGCTGCTGCTGCTGCTGCTTGTCCTTGCTGCCGCATACTTGTTAGGGAATCAGAGGGCTGGCAACTGTCTCCTAATGCTTGTGCCATGCTGTCTGTTACTTCTTCCTCCTCCTCCTCCTCCTCTTGCTGCTGCTGCTG